GTATTCTTATTGTGGAAACCATATACATTGGTTAGACATTTGAAAAGTAACGCGCGCTCCTCAATTGAGGAGCAACGCTGCTATGCGCGCGGTGGCGCCCCTCGGCTAAAGAAGTGCCCTAATTCTGTTATATAGTAATGGAAATGTGTGGCCTTTGGCCAAATCTTCGAAATGAGATGTCCTTGAAAATGTTGAATTCAGAATAGGGCCTGAACTGAGCGTGAAATGTTTCAAGTTAAGTTTCATTCCCCCTCGTTGATCGTGAAGTTGTTGTGCAGTTTGTAGCAATCGATGCGCTGTTTAACGAATAGATTATGGTTCGACTGGTCTTTAAATGATATCTTGCATTATTTCGTGATTTTCCAGATGAAGTCAGATCGTTTGCGTAGAAAATCTCATCGTTTTAGCAATTCAACGGCTACCGTGCCTCATGATGTGAGTTTTTCCCTAGCTGATCTTACGTCGCTAATCGTTATGATTCTGGTCACTCAATAACACATCGTAGTCACGTTGTTCATCTTTCGAAAATATTCTGAAATGCTGAATAAAGAGCAAATGTATATGAAGCTTATACGCATTTTTGCATTACATCAGTCGGGTTTACTGTATTATCTGCACGATTATAAAATTTTTTTCAAATCTAAAACTCTGAATCTTGCAAGATTAAGTTGCAAGTTATATCTTGCAAGTTCGAACCAATACTGCAAGCTTGTGGAGCATCAAGATGAATAACTGATGGTTTGACCCATTCATTTCAGTGCTCTACACTTCCCGATACCTACGGAGCTGACGGCGCAGAAAATATTTGTCCAGAAATACTCGCACACAAGGTTCATCCTTTACTGAATCGTTACTCGTTCGACTTTTGCAAAACGTTCTGATGTTTTTGTTGGTTGCGTTACCCTTGGTTGGGAATTTGCTCAACTGTGGCAAGCAAAAATGTTTATTTGTTGAATGTCCGGTAGGAAGTGACGGTGTGTATATTTGTGATTTGGAATTGATCAAATTATTGTAGGCGAATTTATTTAATGTGAACGATCTTATGTCAGCTTATCTGCAAATTATCGTCATGAAAAGCATTGCTGTTTGTTTCGTTTGTTCGTCAGCCCCAAAATACGATTTTGGTTTTATCATTGCTGCACTTTTTTGTTTTACTTCAGTTTCTGGTTCAAAAATATTGTGGGGAAAAGCGATGCTGTTCGTGCATCCATCTCCTTGATGTTCTCAGGCTTCACTTGAGTTGTTATGATGATTTCTTTCGGGAATTCATCATTACTCGAGTATATTGCCGTATTTCTCTCTTATGCCTTGTGTTTGTTATTAATGAATATCAGAAATCGCTCTTTTTTTTGCAGTTAGCTGAGGTCGCTGGCAATTTAGCAAAAAACAAAGGCGGTTGTGTTGATTTAGCTGGATTCGATTTGAAAAAGGTAATCGTTCATATTATCTATCTGATAAAAGAATACAACTGACGTCTTCTCGTGAAATAAATAATAACTGGCTACTTTAGAAAAACCAGTCCTCGAGAAGGCCAATTTTAGGAGCAGTGAGAAAGTGAATGTGTTGAAGAGATGAATAATACAATCTGATAAACGAATCAATCCTTTGTTTAGGACGGTAAAGAGACAACTGAAGAATTCTTGAGACGACGCGAAGAAGTAAAAAATTTGATGGGTAATCCGAAGAATTTTGACGATGCCACTCAGATGGATCTGGATTATGGTGTAGCTGCCGTTGGCGGAGCCAAACTTTTGGTTGACCAGACCCGAATGACAAGATCCATCAGTCAGAAGTACGTCATTTATCCACCTACATCATCAATTTCTGCTAGAATTCTTGGTCAATTCTTTGTACTGAGGTTTTTATGTGGAATCGCAAACTGCCCCCGTTCAATGCATTATTTGATTATTGTTGGTTAAAATTGATCGTTCGTTGTAATATATCACTGGTTTGAAAATGTATCGGTAATGCAGCTGGTTTATTTTTTATTACAACACAGTTATTTTATTTCAGACTTGTGAGCTACTGCGGTCTGAATGAAGAGGAATTTCTTTATAAAGGACTGAAAGGTGGTTGCGATGCCAAAGCTGGCCAAGAAATTAGCAAGTAAATCATTATTCACTGCGAAATTAAATTGCATTCACTAATCGCAAACATTGTTCTTGTGTGCAGATTTCAGTTATATATGCTATTTGAATGCAAGATTCAACGGTGAGCTCAATGCTGAGTTCATCTTGAAGCAAACGTGAGGCTCGGCCGAGGTTTTGAGCGAGTCTCGGCCAGAATGTTATCACAAGTCTGAGTGAGAATTATTCGAGTCGGCAGCATCGGGCCAGTCTCCGATTTTGATTAGGCGAATTGATTTGTGAAGCACGATATAAATATCATATTCAGTTATGTGGTAGCGCTGAGAATAGTGATTTGCTTCGAAATCACACTGCGTTTTGAAGCGGTTCCCTAAATGAATGCTCCGCACTTTCATTCTTTGCTGAAATAGCTCAAGTGAGCCGTTCGTATTGTTATGAAATCGTCATTTTGGATCGGCAAGTAAATTTTCAGAAATCGTCAGTCTTCAGTCGTCGAATCGTTCGTCGATTTTCAAAAGCAAATTCATTTCAAAATGATAGTCCTCAATCACGTAGCTGAAAAAGTTGGCGGTACGTTCGTTTGTATAAATCGCCTCCGACAGAAATGAATTTTATCATTCTTATTTGTATCCTCCAGTAATCTGCTTTCACAATAACTCATTTCTACACAAATCAAATCAATTTACATTCTTCTCCCATTATTTGTTATTTTTTTCATTTATTCACGTGTTTGCTCTTTACAGTAATTTATGAAAATTTCAGCTCTGAAAACAGTAAGTCTAGTAGTAACAACACTAATATATGGTTTTGTTGAGTATTTCGTTGGTTATCATGTTTTGTTTCTTAGGCTCGAAAGCAGAGAGTTTTCCCCGTATTGTGGGCCGAAGGAAACGAGTAGTAAGTAATCCGTACAAAACTCCAGCCCAGCGAATAGCAATTAATCCACTGGATAGTCAGCGGGTTTGTTGTCTTGTGATATTTTACGAATGTTTTATCGATTCGACTGTCTCAATCACTCGAATTGTTCAATACTGATTCCGAGAATGTGAAGCATCACACTATGTGAATGTTCTCAATTTTTTTTTAGTTCGCTTTTTTGAATAAAATTAAAAAAGCTCGTAACGTTAGGCGAGATGATAAAATCATGGAATGCTGTCTTATTGGTGATATTGAATCGTATGAAACAAAAAAAAACGCCGATGAATGCTGTTTTCAGATAAATGATCAATATGCTCTTGAAGTGGCATCAAAGGTGATAAATCGAGCCAGAAGTTGCCAAAGAATTGCTCCAATACCGTTCAATTACCAACTACTTGATGAAGCTGAAGATCAATTGTAATGGTATAACAACTTGTTTCTGCAAATATCCAATTGGTAAACGTCAAAACAACCGGTCTGTGCTCATGTGTACCTATATCTCATTTTTGTACTCATACCGTTATATGGGCACTTATTCAGTTAGCTTCAAATGTATAATTTTTTCTTTTAAGTTACCTGTTTCTTTCAGCGTTTATTTCTTTTTTTTTTCTCTTAAGTTATGATGTATATATAATTGATTATAGCGGTTCTTCCATCCATATACAAATTATGAACTCGTTCCCACATTTGTTCCTTACCAACTAATTAAATAATTATGTTAATATCTCAGATGGCAATAATCAGAACCAGATATCGCGATTGATTACATTCGGGCTTAAACTTATGCTTATATCGGAAGACCGTTTACAGATTCAATCGATACCTCACCTCGGTACTATATGGTTTACTTCAGTTGATTCAAAGTTGATCGATGCTCATTGAAGTCATGTATGTATGTATGTATCTCCCATGTATATATGTATCTCATGTACGTAAATATTTGTGAAATTACCTATGTGTTTATCAGCCTCGAGGTATGTACATATCACTCCATTGACTATAACAATGATTATATAATAAAAGCTCTTAATGTACAACACCTCTCCTAAGAGTGATGTTTATGCAAAATTCCATTATTTTTTGCTCATTTGTTCATCATACTCAATAATTTGTTCTGTTTTGCTTGTCTCTATGCACAAAAATGTCACTGTGAAAATGCATTCCGAATTTCAAACATTCTTTCATCTATTTAAATCTTTTTTAAAATCTGTTGAATAAATTGTTTAAAAATATAATCGCTTTATTGAACACAATTGACGAATTATCATTATGGTTTATCGATACAACCATTCATTTAATGTACATTCTTCATTTTAGCGATCATCAACATATATTTCGATTCAAAAATAGCAAAAGATTTTTAAATGAACTTTACGTATAATTATGAAAATAAATCAGAAGTTATATTGATAAGAAGTGCCATCTTTGTTCAATTGAGCAATTGAGCAATATGAAATTATTTTTTTGCTGTTACGCACTCACCAGATGGATTTTCACTGAATACATTCATGAATTTTTGCCACAAAGAATCAGTTCTGGTCGGTTTTGTTTCGTCTTATGGTGTGTGCGTCTCAGTGGGAAACGTTATTTACAAGAGAATATTCTAGTGTTATGCAGTAGTTGTGCAATTTCTAGGTGAACGCTAATTTGTTGGCTCGCGTGTTGTTACGTGACTGTACTATACTTGATGTTTCAGCTCTTCTGATTTCAAAATTTTATCGTTGAGTCCCTTTGGAATAAGCGATTGGAATATCTACAACGAAAATTGTTTTGTAATTGAAAGGTATGCAACTGTTTCACTCAGATTTGGTGTTTCGTTTATTGAACTGTTTCTTCACAATGGTTTGCAGTGAATTGGTTAATGAATATTAATATCCAGTTCGGTTAATCGAGGGATTAATCACGACCGACCACAAAGTCATATCAAAATAACATTCTGGTGCTCCAAAAGAAGAACTGTCCGGAGTTCAAGATTATCACCTGCATGTTTTTCGCAGTTCAAGATTTTTTCGCAGTGGAAAATGAAATCTCTCAATTTGATATAGCAGGAGATGTATAAAGAAAACGTCAGAATTGATAGTATTCAAATTGAAAGCATGTTTTGTATGGGTGTTTGAATGTGTTACAACAATCGTCAGTGACAACCTCATCGTAGAGTTGAAATGCTCGGCGTGTTGTACACTTCATTCTGGGTCTTTCCTTTGTAAATAAACGGCGTGAGACGAATATCATCGAGATGAACATGAATAAACTGAATATTGTCGGTAGCAAAAGTGATAGAATGAAAGCGGCACACTAAATAACCACTTTCATTAATTTGATTACTCAATTTTGTTTGCGAGAAGTATTTCTTTTGAAATTTGTTTCCATTGTTTTGTTTCATCCGAACATTACGGAGTGACAATTCAGTTCAGTAGTCCAGTTATTATTCCGCATCAAACCGAAAATGGTGTGAACTTCTCCAAAAGGATTCTAAGTTATTCCGTTCTCACAAATGAAATTCCAATAAAATAAGTGAATGTTGCACAGCATTGTCACGTAATTCCGCCACGAGTCTGTTAAATTTTTTATTAGCTTCAAACACTGTGCTTAAATGAAATATACAATTCGAATTTTTCTTGTAAAACGAATTTGTTCAATGAATTTAGAGCACATACCATTAAGGAAGCGTTCACAAAACACTGCCGCACTCCTCTAATTCAGATTTAAAAACAACACGATGCACTGGATTGTTGAACAGTTAGCCATCGTCTGAGTCAGTGAGAATATCCTCATTTGAAATTTTGAATATTTTATTTGTGAGCATTCAGCATGTCAATGTAAATATTTTACCGATGCTATTAGTGCTTTTCGATGATTATCCGGTTGTTGACTTGAGTGAATCATAGAATAAACAGGAAAAGTTTCCAAATTAATCTTTGTCTTTATCTACAACGGAGATTTCTATTGTAAGCCTAAAATTTTGAGAAGCTTGCAGCAAACTTGGGATTGAATTGACTGTTTCAAAGGGCCACACGTCCTTTTTTAATGCCGTTCATCAGTCAGCGATATTTATATTCTTGCGCAATTTTTGAAGAGGGCGGGTATCTTAAATTTATTTTTTGATATGGAAGGGAGTAGGAGAGAGAAATCAGGCTTTCATTAGCCGTGCCTTTGCAGGTGCCATCATATGCGTGAGCAATAGGTGTAAGGGTTCCACTCTTTGATGTGAATCCATTTGAGGAAAGGCGAACTTTTTGAAGGAATTATCCGGTGATGTCCTCTGACTCAACGGTCGGTTTCAAAGAGAATCGTCGAATTTGTTACGAATCAAGAGATCGATTTTTGGAGTGTTTTGATCGAAATAACGGTGACGAAACGAAGTGTCGAGAGGAGCGAAAGCGTTTCGATAGAGACTGTCCTGCGTCTTGGGTCAGTCATTTCACCTCTTTAATGCGGGTGTCATTTCGGAAGCTGAGATCGAATTTCTTTTATAATTAATCGAAATTATTTTCATCGTGATTGAGTCCTATTGTTAAAGTTTTTTCTAATTTGAGGTGGTGCACTTCATAAGGAAGCATAAGTATTTGAAATATAAAGACGAACTCAAGAAAGATGGTTTCTTACCAGCTGACCAGCGCTTTGAGGAGAATGTCCTGCGTGAGGCTGCTACTGACGCGCAGAGTGACCACTAAGGTCGGTTGTGATTTTATTCACGTGGATTGATGAATCTATCGAACGTCGCTACTTATGCTTCCACCTCCGCGAAGGGATCATAGAAACGATCCTTTCCGATAATTGTTTATCGCATTTCATCATTTCTATATCCTTCGTTCATTTGCTTCTCATCCATATGATTCATAATGTTAAATGAATCATCCGAAATAATCGAATATCTTCCTACTTCCACACCGAGACATTTATATGCCGCATTCTCATAGTAACTGTTATAACCGCGATAATTGTAATAAGCCTAGGTGAACAAGAGCGTGCACCGTCGTAAAGCGTGAACGATCGAAGCAGTCGTTCAACAAAAATCCATAAAAACATCCTCTACTCTGTGGATATTTCAGAGTAAGCCATCGAATGACGAATGCTCGCTACCTCTGATATTGCAACGTTTGGGTGTTGACTTGAGTGATGCATTAACAATGCAACAAATAAACTCTTTTCGTAAACAACCAATACCATCAGCCGACGCAAATGCATTATCTGCATTGCGTCGATGCCGGTTATTCAATTCCGCACGTCTCTATGCAAATGTGTTCGTTTTTTCTTGTTGAAAATATCTCGGTTTAAATTTTTATGTTTTATCGTATTTATAAATTATCTTAAATTTCGATTCGTCAGCTTTCACGTCTTTAATTCGTTCGTTTGCTCCAAACTGTTTTTTCAGTCCTTTTGGGTGGGCGTTTTTTTATCGGAGAGACTAATTCACATTCGTCATCAGTTCCTATTTGCGTTATTCAGAAAAAGTATTTAAGGCTGCAATCATATTCAAGTAATATACCACCCGTTATCCATCTTGAATTGTGCCGTCTGTTGGCCGTTTTTCATCTGGAAGGCGTTACGAATGAGCAAGACACGAACTTGTTCAACTTCCTGCAATCAACTATTCATAAATCGCCACCACCGATCAGACCAACCGCATCGGCACTGTTACGTTCATGTTCCACTCTGAACGATGTTCCCAATCTTCCATCGAATATCATCGAAAGGAATGACGTTATCGCTTGTTTGCTCGGTGAGGTTCTTGAGTGTTTTTTTTTTGTTGCGAATGAGATTAGTATTAACGGTAATGGTAGTTATTATTTTAACTGTCATTGCTGCTGTTCTTCTCAAGGTTGTATTCTCCTCACATCAGTTATGCGTTTATCATGGTGCAATTGGCCCAAAACAGCAGCTTTTTTCTGACAGCAATCGGTTAGTCGGTGGAATTGATTCACACATAGACTTCTCACTGAGCTGTGTGAATTTGTGCTACCAATTTTTGAATTTTGCGATTGTGCNAACCAAAATATGTGTTAGCTTGATAAAACGATCGTTCACTTACTTGTGTATGCTGCATTTTAGGACGAACATTGCGAGATGGAAATACAAAAATATTTTCCTCAATGCTGCAATCAGAAACGACTTATCCAGTATTCCATTCGGATGCCGTTTTGAAATTGATGAAATCCAAAGTGCATAAATCACCATTATTAGCTGAATTATTATTGCAACGTTGCGTCGACGAAAGAACTTCACCCAGCTCTCCACTTTTTTTGCAGATCATTCGGTGTGTTGCTTGGTTGATAGCATTCAGTCGGATGTGAAGTGATACTCAGTAACGTGATAGCGATATTCTACATTTTAATTTGTGTTATCATTGTTGAAAATATTCGTATTTTTAAAGTGTCTCTTATGAAAGTGTCGACTCGTTTTGCTGAGTGCTAGGATGGCTTCTTTCTCTTGGAGATGGTGCATTTTAAAGATGACTCAAAAATTGCACTTATGATGATTCGCTACATTTAAGTGCTTCAAAAGCTTGGCAAGTATCGAAGAGGGTGAATATATCCGAGAAAGGTATTTGTAACATTTGTAATTATCAACTGAATGAACGCGATGAACTGTCTGATGATGAACACGCAAAACTTCACAAAGCACTCTTGTAAGCGTTCACTTCATTTCGATCGACGTGAAAATTCATCATTCAACATTTGACGTTTTTCGACTTATTGCAATTTTTCTCACCCATTCGATTCCAGATCATATTTATTGGATAAAAGTCAGCAGTTCTCCAGTTGTTCTCCAGCTGAAGTTCGTGCTCTTCAAGAGCATGTTCGTAGATTACCGAAGGTTTGTTATGCACATGTTTGTTAACAGTTAATATTGGACAGTCATGTATAGCTTTATCGCGACTTTTTGATTTTTTAGTGCATTAACGTTTAATAGTTTTTTAACGTAACTTTCATTGTGTAATTATTACTTTTCGATGAAAATTCACTGATCATGTAATACGATGAAGTGATTTCAAAAGGTGCTTGTAGTGGATGCTTGAGTTTTTCAAGACAGTTGAACCTCTCATTTCCAAATTGTACTATATTTTGCAATTACCCAATCCTGCCTTTGCTGAGAATATACGGTGTTGAGTAAATCGAATCTCTTGTCTCAAAATGTTGTACAAAACATATCGTCATTTGTGAATATGAATTTAGGTTCTTTTGTTGCTCTCGTTGTTTTTCCTTCTCGTTCTTGCTGATGGAGCAGACAATATAGTTGCTCCAATGAATAAGTACCTGTTAGCTGATATAAATTCAATAGAAAACGGTTCGTTCCGATGTCAGTTCTTTTCACAGGACTCTGACAAAATCAGTAAATATTTGGTTGTTGACACATTGAACCTGATTCATGGACGTCCCTTCGAACCATTCTACAAGATGCTCCTCAGATTACTCGAGCAATTTCAATGTATTATGTTGATTACAAGACCTGGTCTGAACAATCGCTACATTCGTGAACTGACCAAATTGCGGATATCGATCTTCGTTTGTGATAAATTGTGAGTTCTCGTTGGTTCATCCGTTTGTTTTTCATTTCTTTTGGGTTGCTCCGTTCAATATTTCATTTTATATGTGTAGACTNACTGATTCAATTCAGTAATTACTTAATTGATATCCGATTGCGTTGGTTGTGATTATGATGAGCTCCGAAGCGTTATGTTAGCTGTTGCAAGTCAATAGATTTCTCAGTGACGGTGACAGTAATAGCAGTTATGCTGCGGAGAGCATACCAGAAAAAAGATCAGTTGATTGAGTGTAGTATGGAACAATTTTTACTTGATATTTTGATGATGATTACTAAATGCATTTTAATAGGAGTGAAGACGATTTATTTGTATTGTTGGCAGCACTCGAGATTGGTCCGAAATGTTACGTACTAACGAATGATCAGTTTTGTGATCATCGATCTCGCATCGGTGCCAATCCCGATTTAATACATCTATTTGATCGATGGATTGCCACTAGAGTAGTTCGATACTTTGCAAGTACCTACCGGCATAAGGTGAACTTTTTTTCATTTACTTATATTTACTTAATATGTCATTCCGAGTGAGAATGGACCTATGATTATTTAATATTGTTCTCAGACCTTTCCATTCATAGTTTTAGAGGAATTGTATGACCAGGGCGAAAAACGTGATGCAGTTTTAAAAAATAGTTTGATGAAAGTCAAATTTAGTTAGTAAACTCGTCTATTGCTGTAAAATGGTTGATTTGCAGATGCCCGGTAAATTTATATGCTTTCCTCATCGCACCACGAAAGGCTTTCATGTTCCGTTAGCGCGTGTAATATCGCAAAGTATCTACGAACATGACTGGATATGTCTACGAAGAAGGAAACCAATGCCAAATACCTAATAAATTGCCTTTTTAATCCATGCAAATGAGTTGTTTATAGGGGATCCTTATTATTGTATCATGCTATTTAAAGCATCTTAATAGGTATAATTATCGAATTGCATCTTTGAAGGCCAATTTTGATTCGTAACTGTAATATTATTGAAATATTCGTATAATTGTTTCTAGCGTTTTCTGCCGAATTTTTGATCATGCTGTTAATGAAACTATTATTTGATGTTGAACAGTTTCATGCGAGAAAATGTCAATAAAACTTCTATACATATCGCTTTGTTCTTATATACGTTGATTGTCGGTCAGCTTTCGTTACTTTGTTCAGCATGATGATGTGAAAATGGTTATTACTGTTCATCGATTCAAAATGATAAATTTTTAACGAATTTTTGGAGATTGAGCGTTGAGGATTGAATGAATGATGCAGTTAACGTTGGAAGAAGCTGAAAATGAATTTATACAATTGTTGGATAAGATCGAGCCTCGAAAGGTGGCAACTTTCTTGGATTGGGTTATGGACAGTTTTTCGGTTGTTGATTCATCGCATGATAGAAAAGGTCACTTTCATTCAACAATCGTTTCTATGTACTTCGATTGTTCTTGGATTCTAGCGTTCAAACTGTTGATTCGTTTGATTTCAATGCACAATTTTGATCACTTAACGAAACGAGCACAGCTTTTTGTTGAGCGATTTTTGTGTATTGATCACATTTATAATGTAACGATTCTTTGAGGTGTTCGGTGTGGTGTTGAACGTGACGATTTGTGTCCATGGAAGAGTTCTGAAGTAGAAGAGGCGAACGCGATTCTCAAAAAAATCGCTCTTGAAATTAGAGTTGATGTAGGTGAATTGTTTAATATCAAGTTAAAATTTGTTCAATTTCATGAATTATGCGTTTTTGTGTTAAAATCAAGCCTTTCATCATCATTCTCTGTATGGGTGTTGCATATTTCCATTTTCTATGGGTAAAGAGTTTCCCAGGGGGTACGGTTTTTAAGAGGAAAGAGCTGGCGCACGACAAAGAGGTTTCCATAAAATAGGAAAGTTCAAGGTTTGGTTGGAGGTTTCCTCTGATGGAGAAAAGATTTACAGTGGAAAGCGGTACTTCCGGAGAGGGCTTTCCCGTTAGCGACCTCTTTTCACTCAATTGTGTTAAAGTGTTCGTTTGAATAGTTGAAGTAATATTGACCTTTTTCATCTAACGTTTGAATAGTTTATTGCAGCTACCTGTGACAGCTGTGCTTGACTCGGAGAACCTGCATTGGCCGTCAGATGGACTTGATTCGGACTGTAGACCTGAAACGACGGTTAGAAGAGCTTTGTGGTTTTATTGATGAGATAGTGCTGAGTTATTTAAGCATTGATTCATTGTTCATCGACATTTCAGGTGCATGTGGATTCGTTTCTGTACGATGACGATGATATTGACGATTTGGTTGATGAAGGACGCTTAAAAAGGAGTTATTGTTTGGCGTGCGGATCAAGAAATATAGAACAGTTGACGTTCATATCGCATTCACTTAGTGTTGACCAGGTCTGCTGCTTAAAATAAATTTATTTCCGTAACTTTCCATCTTGTAAATTACGTCGAGAATTATAATTATCATTGATGAGCGAAAACTTTTGGAATGACTTTAAAGTCGGTTTTGGTTATGATATTCATAATAAAAGCATTCCTTGGAGCTTTAATGCTTTCGGCGACAGTGATATCATTTGATGACAATAATGAGGATTAGCACTTTTTAGCTCCGATATATCTTCACTGCTTTGGTACCTTTGAATGAAGCAATGTCGAATCGACTTATAGTTGATGTTGGTTCAAGACTTGGCGCTGTTCTCTATGCATCTTACCTTTACGGGTTCGTTGTCATTCGATTACAATACAATGTCTAATTTAATGTTTTTGATATCTAATTACAATACAATATCTAATTTAATGTTTTTGATATCTAATTACAATACAATATCTAACGTTTTCCGCACGTTGCTCACCCCATCATTTGCATCACTTTTTTGGTTCATTCAGAATTGTGGCAGTCTTTGAATGGAACTGATCACCACACTTGTTTTTAACACTTTTTGTACTCGTTTCTTGTAGAGGTGGTCGTGTGAACGCGGTGGGCATTGAAATGGTTAAAGAGTTTTGTGCATTGCAAGAGAAGGTGATTCAGGAAAACGGAATGGACGATCGTATTAAAGTTCGTTGATCGGCTCGCTTTTTGCTGACATTCTTTTCATTTATGAGATATTTGGTGTTTTCGTTGCAATTTTATTAACGAGCGATTTAGAAATACACATCGCTTGTTTATTTACATTGCAACTTCTTTAATTCGATCGTCCGAATAGGCACACTTTTATCGTGTTTCCATCATTTCACGTTATATTTTATTCACTGCAGAATACATTACATCAATTTTTGCATGGCAGAGAGTCGATTAAATTTCTCAACATTTTAATGCTCACACACACATAAACTGTGTTTCTGGCACGAACCTTTTCGAGTTGTTTTGACAGCATAAACTCTTTCGATTTGTTCTCTGGCAGGAATACGAAATTCAAGAATGAATCGTTGCAGGTCATAAATGATGATGTCAGAAATCAAGGTTCGTTGCTCGCCTCTGCCGATGTGGTTATCCTCAACAATGTTTTCAATTTCTTCCTCCCTCCGAATGAACAGGTTAACTTTTCAAAGTGATTGAGGTCTTTTTTTGAAGGGATGAATGCATAATTCTTGGTGAATTTCTTTCGTTTACCTTTTCAAATAAACAATCGCCGTTTTTTGCAGTTGTCTTGTTGGAAGTTTTTGCATGAAACAATTCGTGGTGGCGCGGTTATAGTCTCAAATCCATCGGTGGAAACAGTCACCGAACATCTCAATTTGCCGTTCACTTTGAACGAATGGATTACTAAGGTTATTTGGCTGAATGAGTTCTTTTTGCAAATTGTTTATCTCGCCTTATTGCTTCATTTCGCATACTCTTAACAAAATTATTTTTGTTTTGTTTGAACCGTTGCGTACCAAGTGGTGAATCATTTTTCTCACACCGAATACTAAACCTCTTCGTTTATGTGATCAGCCATGATATTAGTTATTCCAATAGCTCTCATCTATATTAACTTCGAAGAAGTTTAAATAAATATTATTGTACTTGATCAGTGATTTATTCAGTGAATGTTGTGCGGCTATTGTAAATTTTTTTCAAACAATATCATTTCTCTTATTTGCATTTATTTTCCTTAAAACATTTCCGATTCTCTTGTGGATATAAATCTTTGCTCTTTCATCACGCCTCTTTCCCAAATAAATGTTCTTTGCGCCGCCATTTTTTGATCATTGTGAAGTCAGTTCCAGTTTGACGAGTATAATTATCTTTGCTTTGAACTTTATATCGTTTTGAGCCCTTCCATTGATAATCTGCTCTCAAACCTTTTCGAATTGTTGTATCATAATCGGTGCTTTGCGCCGCCGTTTTAATTGATCTTAATAGCCTAGTGATGTATATATAAAATAACGTTATTTGCGTCTTTTTCTGCCATTATTTTTGCGTAAATCAGAAATGGATTTCAGATCGACACAAGTCACTTAGCTGCACGATTCGCCGCAGCAGATGATGAGCTCTTTGAAGATTGTGAGAAGTTGACTCTTTATTCTGTGTCACGTCGTCAAACGCACACCAAAAACGAATAACAGATGTTGATGAACAACAGAGACATCACGAACTGAATTGAACCATTACTATTATTTAATCAAACAGATATGAGTCGATTACAATGAAATATTCCTTCATTTTTCATATCAAATGATTTTATTTCTGATTGGTTTCACTGTGATTGTCACTTGTTACTTTATTGATGCATTGTTTCGGATTTGTTGAATAATAATAATCATTGGCATAAAATAAAATTGAAACTAATGGCAAAACAGATGAATGAGAAACATACAAATGCAAATGATTGAATAGGTGAACTGTATGTGTAACAAATAAAAGATAGCGTTCAAGCGTGCAGGATGAGAATAATAACCGTTCGATTTGTACTACACCGGAAATTCACGCTCAGCATTGGAATATTCAAATGTTTTTCTCATTGTCCAATCCTAGTCGTTTGTTTTGTCAAATTCAACGTTGATTTTATACTGTATCATCAAAGAGACGAATTGGCTGAAGACTGAGATTTACGTGGACATTCATTCCTCTTGCTTAGGGTCGTAACTTATCGGTGTGTTGTTGGTGGAAATAAATTGAAAGTCAACAACTGAAACGTGTAATTGATGCACAGAAAGAGTTTTGAAGATGATGGTTTGTCGCACAGAGAATAAGTTTAGATTAACATTTGTCAGTTAAACATATACAAAATGCTCCTTTTGTTTACTGCTCAGAAGTGTGTCTCTTCCAGGAGTCGGAAGCGTACTGACAGTCGAGCATTTTCCGATTGAAACATCAGTCAGATCGATGCTCTTTGCTGTCGATCGTGATCTCCTGGAAAGGATACATTTGAATGCGCTTGGGTGAAATCCTTTGATATTTTTCCATTCATCGCTATATTTCGATTGATGGAAAGGTGAGAGTCCACTCAGAAGCAGATTCGCGTATGAATTAGATGCATCTTCGATTACGGTACATTAGATGTGTGATCAGGCAGCGCATTTATTCATGCTGGAATGACAAATTGTGAATTCAGTAGATGCAGTCTCTTCGGATCGAATGCAGATGCAACTTCCGTAATATCAGAAAGTTGGTGTACGGGACAACAATAATCTGATCTAAATCTACTCGCCAGTCAACATAACAATTATTTTGCAGCAAGAAGTTAAACTGACCATGATTCGTCGCTCTCAAACCAGCTTGGCGTTTTGGGCTCTTCGATACAAAACATCTTCCTACATTCAGTCCGGAATCGATGACCGGATGCGTAGAATAGGAAAAAATTCACGGAATTGCAGAATATCACTAAAAGATTACCAACACTTGCGAATAAGGCCAACATGGCTGGTGATTCTTCGGGTGCAACCGCACCTATGAGCTGTAAAGAATGTGAAGGTTTTAGTTTACTTCAAATGAGCATTTCGAATCTTCAGTATGGTTAGCGAAAAGTAAGCAGCTAAAGATAAAATTGATAAGCGAAGTTGTTCTGCTAGATAGGCGAATATTTTTCGCTGCATCTAATTTTACTCTCTTTTCGTTTTGTAGATTATTTTTTTCAAAAGTATTTCTTATGCTTAATCTTGCTTTGTGTCTGATTTTGGTGAATCTATCTTTGTAAAGTGGAAATAAGCAGGCAGTATCGCTCTTGGTGTGACAGAAAAAAGTGAGCTGGGGTGGAGTTTTATAACGGATGGTACCAAAATTTGTGAATAACTCGGTAAATTAAGCTGTTCACTGTTTACTGCTATGAATGAGCGAAGCAAGATCAAAAATAAAACAAACTCATCAAGTAGAGATATCGAAACAATGTCAACAGCGATAACAACATTGAATGGAATCTGAGCTCTAAATGGTTAATAATGAAATCACTGTTTTTTAGCACACACAACTTGACCGACATTAAGCAGCAATGTCAACGACGAGGAATTTTAAAAAACATTTATTTGTAAAAGCACTTAGAGCCGAAAAAATGCTCATTCTATGAAATGAGTTATCCGCCGTAGGCAACTGCTGTTAATTTTGAAGCAAGCAGAAAATATGGTCACCCGAAAAAAGCGCTCAATTCACTCAAGATCATACAAACTAAACTAAAAGCTGATCAACCTTGTTTACCTTTCTCGCGCTCGCCATTGTTGGTCTTGATCACTATTTCTAACTGTCAGTCAACTCAACAGTAATCTCCTCATTAACCATTGGAGTTTGCTGTTCGACGATTTATTCATCATTGTTGATCTAATATTACCATAATTGATTTTAAAGTTTCATATTATAATCAGTGTTGATTATTTGGTACTAGCTGCTGTTATTTTTGGTGATTTTATTTGATACGACTATTTTTCTTTGAATTTCATATCATTATCATTTGTTGTTGTTGATTCTATTCGATGTTGTTGACTTTGTTTCGCTACTCATACTTGCTGATTTGGTTCCATTTTTAATCTTGTTTTGTTCGTTCACAACAATGAAGAGTTATCAAACAGAACAGTTTCATTTACCCAATTATTCATAACTTTCAATACTGTTGTATTAACTAGGACATATTATCCAGCATCATCATACCAGGAGCGCAACTACGTGCTTTTTTTTACTGTGTACAACAATTCACCAAAATCAGGCGCAAAAAAAAANAAAAAAAAATAAATCAGTAGAAACACATTTGTAAAAAATAAATCGAATGCAAAAAGGAGTACAATTAGTTGCAGCGAAAAATAATTAACGAAATGACACTCTCTGTTTGAATGATACAATATATGTCTCATCACCCACTGAAATGAACCAGTTCTTCTTCTGAACTGTTCTCGCATCAACATTCAACTTTTCATCAACTCGAGTATATATGCTGAGAAAATGCTTAAGCTGCCCATAATAATGAGCATGTTAGTTCAACGCTATTGGATGCGTTGTAATAAATCAGTGAAAAAGTTTGGTCCCAACTTGCCGATATAATATCTTGAATGACCGATGCATCTCGGAAATGCATAATAGATAAGAAATATACTGTTTTCGGATGCAGCTGCTATGCATCGAATTGATGCATTTTACAAACTGCAACAAATCACACGCCCAGACCCCGACTGCTTACGAACGAATGCATTGTATTGCAGTACATCTCCAAAAAGTATGTTGTACTATACTTGTATTGTACTGACATAAATATACTACGGTTTTCGCGATCTTATTAAAAATGCATGTACTACTAGTTGGGTGAATCGAAAAATATCCGCAGTTTTGCCGTAACGTAGTTCAAGGCTTGATCACCCCCCTCCCCTAATATACCTTAAATAAGCATATTAGATTTTATACATCCTCATGGAGAGTTTGAACAGGATCCTGACATTCCCCTTCATAGCGCTACAGTGTAACGACATGCTCAATGACATTTTCCTTGCCAAAAATAGCACAAGAGCTCTGATTCGCGTTTTCGCTATTAAAAAACGCTCTTCTTATCTTATACGTTTGCAGGCTTATGAATCATCTAGTGTGTATGCTTAGTTGAACTTTGAAATCATTTTCGTTGATGTTGCAGTTGGAATACGGCCTTTCCGCTGTCATTATGAATCGAGAAGAAAGAAGCTGTAGTGATCCGAGTTTTCCGATCGCAAGTTGATCGGCCACTTTTAAACTTTACCTCTTCGCACCTTTTTCATACACACGTTCGGGTTTGACACAGTGCTTTATGTGTCCGTTGATCCGAGGAGTGCATTATTCAATGATGAGGTAACGTAAATGAATTGTATCGCGATGGACATTGTAGCGATGATTGTTACAATATCAATTCATAGTATCAACGGAAGTGACATATGGAAGTGCCATAAAGTCAATGAGGATTTCTGTTTGGCTGGTATATTTTGCCTTAAAGAGTTTGAATGCATGTGAATGAACGCAAAGTAACGGAATATCAGAATTCTTTTGTGTTAGCACGCTTAGAACAGTACTGCGTGGGAATTGGGATTAATTTAGCATCAACTGGGCTCATACAGGTTTTGTGCATTACTTCTTGTATCTGCTGAACGGAGGTTTGCTAAGACGAAGCTTGAATGTATTGTCAGTTCAATTCACTATGCGTTTCCGAAATGTATCGGTCAGTCAAGACATCATTCTCATCGTTATCAATTTACGTGAATGCAAAATGCTGATCTCTGACTCAATGAAGCGTTCCAATGAAAGCAATTAAAAAGCATACACTCTCGATCATTGGTAGCGGATCAGATAATGCGAATTTAGCAGCAATCATTATGATCATTATGTTTGGTTCACGTTCTTCTCTGAAATTATTAGATTGTTTTTGTTGACGTATTTGAATTGACATGGTTCTCATGTTGATTATTTGATTCTTTGGATATAAATTCTGTCAAAACTTCGACAATGTTTACCGATAATTCAAATGCAATAAACTTTTATCTTGAAGTATCAAGCAGCTTGAGGAAATTCTAATAATAAGGATCATGCGATGCAATTCTTACTTGGAAGAGCTACTCAGTGTTTTACGTTCACTTTGCTCGCTGCCGCGGAGGTTCTGGCGTTCACGGCGAGCCGTACGTAAAAAGCATGTGATTCGAAATGTTAGCGTCAGAATGATTATCGATGGTGTTACGGTAACGAACACCATCACCATATATATGTGATAAACAGTCCAATAAATTTCACTCTGAAAAGCAGTTCTTACGATCTAAAACTTATGGCTCATCAGTGAAATTATGGCTTTCTTACTCAGCTACAAATCATTAAGCGTAACGTAATCTAATGACTATCAGTCATTTTGAATGACTAATTCGCGAAGATTTATGATCATTGGTTGCTGAGTGCATCGCGAAACGAATCAAATCCGCTTTCAAATGATATCAATCATAGCGATATGTTATTGTATGAGATTCGGTGCGTATCACTATAACAAAATCAGCTGCTGAGTTTGTTGAGAAATTTAAAATTAGAAATGAAACAAATGAAAAGAACTGGTTGGCGACCTGAAAAAATTCAGTGCTAACAAGTGTGAGATAACAGTTGTTTGGAGAAGTATTAGGAAGGTGAGATGAGGTTGTGTTGTCATTAGTACATATCGTTGCAGGTCTGTATTCAAAAAGACGAGGGAGTGTGAAGAGAAATGCCGCTATCAACACACCAAACAGAATTCGTTTCACTCGACTGTAATTTTGTTGTATTTTGGAAACGGAAATTTTAAATGAGATATTTTCACTGGAATATCAGTGGATGATCATTGTTCTGAAAATCTTCTTTTCATTACTGGTGACGTGGTTGTGGAGTAATGCGTAATTGCTCTACTGAGATTGATCACAAACAATTAAACAAACACAAGTTCTCCGAAAAACATTAAGTTTGTTGGATAAAGAAAGAGGATATATTGCTATGGGCGATTGCAATGATGAGAGACGGAATGATATCATTTTTTGACGAGAACAGAAATGATTCAGGCAGAGTGGGTAAGACTCAGTTAAAATGAATAAAAATGTAAAAAGTAGAAATGAGAATGAGCAGTGAAATGAGTCTCTGAAAGATGAACAATTAAAGAGCGAAGACGTAACCTTTTGGTGGCAAACGCTCTGTATTTGAGAGGGTTGCAAAGCGCAAAATAACGTTCAATTGTAAGCGCAAGAACAATCCATGTGATCGAAACATAAAATGGCCCGGACAATGCATGTGCCAACAGGATAACGAGTGAATATGAGCCAGGTATTTGTGTATCACCGTGAATCATTGTTGGTAAGCAGTACATCAGGAAGCAATTACACAGTAGTGCTGACTGACAGATCAACAAAATCATCTGAACATTGCTTGCTTGCTTCAAAATTCAATTTCAACTTGAACGAATTTATTTCGGACGTTTTATGCACTCTATGTAATCATTATAAAAGCGTCATTCATCGAATGATGTCTATAAAGTGAGCGATTTTTTTNTTTTTTTATTTTTGAAACGACATAAAGAGTGTACTTCACTTGAACGGAGAAATTCCCTATTGGCGTTAATAGTCGTTTTTGATTGACGGAATATGGAAACCGCAAATGTTGTTATTGCTTCTGGTGGTGGAATGAGGTTATTTTCAGGTGCTCGTTAAACAACCGAGAGAAACGAACCAGGTAGTACTGTGCAATCGATGATTTGCCACGATTCATTTGATTGAAAACCATCATACTCAAACTGTTGAGACTGACTCCCAGCGTAATAAAAATAAACGTCACATACCCGTCCAACACATAGATAATCATTCTTAGTTTCTTTTCGTGTGCCTCATTTGGATCTTGATCATGTGTGGCATTTCCTCCAAGAGAATAGGTCAACGTGCCAGTAGTATCGAAATTCATCGATGTCGGTGTCACCATCGGAATGATAAGAAGAATTTAATGATAAGAGCAGGTATGATGCCGACCTGAAAACAGCGCCAGTCTTAAAATGTGTGTTCGCAACCGCTTCATTTCTAACACTTCATAAAGTCATTGAAAGATGGCAGAAAACTGTAATGAATTAGCAGAATCAAGGTGAAAACATAATGCGATGTGTGAAAGTCAAGAATATTGATTAAATCATTTGGAATTGATGCTTGCATGGGAAGGGCTCAAATTCGAACAATAGGAATGAACAATTGAATGGCTGGAATGTGACGAACACTCAAGCATAGCAATCATCACAATAAATGTTCTTAAATCAATTAACATTGATTGCTCATTCCGCAATCTTTTTGCACTCACTAACGTTCGTATATCTATGAATCAGTCTCGACTGATCTACTGAAAAACAACTGTTTAGTGCCTAGATTTTTGCTACATTTCAGTGTACTCTGTTGAATGGATACGTAGTTGAGAAACGCCTAACTTTGACTCAAAATAAACTCATCAAAATTCAAAGTTTTTTCTTTCCGAATATCCGTTCAAACATGTAATTCGCTCCACAACTTTGTTGATGAACACGGCCAAAAGCATTGAGCTGATCTGCAAGATTACAATTAGATTAACAATAATCTAAAGGAAACAAGTTTTTCATTGCATAAGCTATTCCGACAATAACTTATTGTATCGCAACAATTATTCAAATTGAACCAAAATAGAATGGATCACATTTTTTAGATTGGCAATTTATTTCAGAATATGTTGGATCGTGATTTTTTCACTGATCCAAGAATAATATTGGTACCGCAGTGATCATGGCATCCTAACCATTGCTCTAAGGCAGTGCATCGCCCATTCTTTTCGTGAAAATCGTCGATCTCCCTTCCAAACAAATGTCGCCTGGGCACTTCTCTCTTCCATGGGCAGTTCATCGAAACATATTGTGAGAATAACTTGAGAGTATTTTCTAGGTAGGAGATAATTAGCGAACTAATGTCAAAACCGGAAGAATTGTTTTCTCCTTCTTTGAGAAGAACCGCTAAAGTACTGAATCCGAGAGCAAATTTTCATAACCATCTACTTGAACTAGTTGTTCGAAGTGATCGCTCTGTGACGCCGAATATTCAAGCGAATAAGATGAGAGCGACAGAAACTTCAGAACAACAATAATTCTCTGATAATTAACTGCACCCGACTGAGGAGACTAAGAAACGTAGCTATGGGTACGTATTATAGCTCTCATTGTGAGCTGTGTTAGTACGGAAAGGGAGTAAGATAACGAAAGTCGAATAAGATTTTAGAACTGTATCAAGTATCGAATTACATAGGGAGAAGGCTTGTTCATGGAAACGTCACGTTTACANCTTAGGGTTGATGTCAAGTGTTGTGCGAGCGAAGAAATTGTTCGTTCACGATCAGAGCATCAACAACTTTGATATTACTAATCCTGATCATTTTTACCGCTACGTATATTATTTTATCGCTAAATTGAACTTACTGAAATTTGCTTGAAATCAAACATTGAAATCAACAAAGATTTTCTTAAAGTCAAATTTTCCTGAAATCGAACAGCGAAGAATAAACTAACATCAAGATGTCAAATCAAATAGGGAGATATCGACGAAAACATTTGACAAATCATAGCCATATGCAAAGCAGTGCAAATATGATGATCACTGTCAAACAGGTTTCCGCACACAGAAATGAATTCAAACTAATTCGAAAAATCCTTTCAGCAGTTTAGGCTATACAGAAACGGCAACGGATTAATATGTGACTGATGATGAACGGTGATGCAAGCAGAATCTTTCGAATTACGTATGGGATATAGTAGAACCTCGGATTACGGACTATTTGTGCGACAGTTTTACTTTATGAAAGAGGATTATCGAATAATATAACGAGTATTACAAATGGATTGAAATATGCGACTATATATATGGCGAGTGATGCCACTCACGATGCAATTTACTAATTGGAATTGTTATGGATTGGTTATTGCTTTGTGAAGTCATAAAACAAATGTAGGAAACCAATAAGGTGGATTGCAGATTTCATAAGTGATATTATGTAATGGACGGGAAGATATATCGGGTGCTGAATGGTTATTTATTGCTATGTTTTCACAAAAGTTAATGAAACCTAAGAAATGAATAAACCGAGTTAAGGCTTCCTTATAACTGTGTTTCTCAGGAGACTATATTGACTATTTGCTTTTTTTTTCTAGAAATTGTAAACGATTTTGACTTCCGAAATGATCAACAATGACCGTTTAGCAGTGCATTCTTTATGGGCAAACGTAATATGAAATTGCACATTTTTGTTGCATTCGGAACCAAGCAATAGACTGGATTGCTACTCGAAGAGGGCACTGTTAATATTAGAGTGCGCTTTCGGTTCTCGATATGGCAATATTTTACTTAATTGCTTCCGATTCTTGAATTATCTGAAGTCGATTCAGCAGAAGGACCCAAGTGGTTTGTTCAAATATCGTTCAATGCAAACATTAAAAGTCAAGTGGTTCCATATCCGATCGGCATTACATTTCAATGTATCTTCGAACAATCACTGGAAAAGCATTGCATCATCGTACTAACGCTTCTTCAAATACTGCAAAAAAATTCAGTCATTACATAGCAACTGTCGTGCAAATAAACCAATTAGGTAATTGAAAAATCATTTGATTGTGATCACGCTCAAAAAATGGCATTTTTTAAAAACTCCGAGTTTTACACCATGTCGAAATTTTTTTTTCAAAACGCTATGTATACTGCTATGCAATAGAAATTCGAAAGGAATAAGTCGAAGAAGTTTCAAAGAGCTAAATCCATTCATAAGTATGCAACACTCTATCAAATGATGCTCAACCGATCAGGCCAATCATTCATAGTGACAATATGAATTGGTTTTCCTTAAAACAGCAATTCTTACCTAATTCGAAGATTCTTCATTCATTCATTCGGCTATTTCGTTTCTGCTTCAAAGATTTCCAAAAAAAAAAACAATCGCAACGAGACAAGTCTAACGCTGAACATCGATCTAATTTTCTTTTTCAACATAACTTCACAAACTCCAGTCTCAATGGCTCTCAGTATACAACCAAACGTTGTTACATTTATTGTTTGGCTATTCCATGTTTTTGCCATTGAACGCAATTAAACAAATATTTCACTTGAAAATGTTCTCTCGCTTGCGTCAGTACCAAACTGAATTCTAAAGTTTATTGGACTGACGCTACGCGAATGAATGCAACGGTATGCTCCATGAGTGCTTATGAAGAGTTGTTTTGTTAGATTGAATTCATGCTTGTGATCAACTTTCAACCGCTCCAGTCATCCATAGTGTTGTTTTATTCGATATTTCTGTGGAAATTTGTTTGAAAGTTTTTTTCGAGGAAGCAAATCTTCGCAACTTTGAGGATCCTTCCGGTGAACGACCATTCGAAGCAATGTTGCCTCTGAGGAACAACAGTACTCAATTCGATGAATCCAGTGAGATAAATCCTGAAGCAGTGTCTTACATTGTGAACGGGTATCTTACGGCTATCTGTATCATAACCGGAATTCCACTGAATACTTTCAGCGTCAAAGTTTTCGTTCATCAGCAGGGCAGATCCATACCGGCTATGCATTATTATTTGGTAATATCAATAGTTACGAAATTTTCTTGAGGAGACAAATTTCGACAATTCGAACTCACTTCGACTGAATTTCACGTGTAGGTACAGTACTCTCGGAATCTAGTCAGTCTGTAGGAAAAGAACTTCGTCTTAAATTCCAAGACGTCTGAGCTGAAGGATTGCCGCACACGCTCACTTAACCCAAAATATTTTATGAAGGATTTTATCACCTGATCTGCAAGGACTTTATCATATCACTCATCATTCTAAACCACACAAATTGCTAATATCTCATCATATGCATCAACTTTTATGCAGATAAGGATACTCTTCTTCTCAAATTTTTGTCCACATTTTTCATTGTTTTACCTATTCAAATTAACCTGAATCGATACATTTGCAGATATATTTGACCATTTGGCAAACGTTATTGCTTTGCAATGCCTTTGTAATGTACTGTTTACCGACGTTACTGTACGGATGCGTTATATCTGAAGGATTATATGTGTATATCTATCCATTTGTTTATACGTTAGCTAATGCAACACATACTGCCGCGATTTGGGTTATTCTTGCGCTAACGATTGATCGTTATTTGGCACTTTGTAAACCGCTCACTCATATGGTCAATGTTCAGAAAAGGTTAAGCTGAATCACTTCTTAATGTCACTCAGCGATCGCAGTCATCAGCGAACGAAGAAATTAGAAGCATGAATTCGGCTTTTCGCATGCCGTTGAAGCAAAACATAGATCATAACGTTAGGGCTCTGACGAAAAGTCTTTGCTCGATTTGTTTTAATTTGTCAATCAAACAAAGACTAATCAAATTAATAGCATATTTGATAAACCCATTACAATTGCGATAAAAAATTTTAAAGGAAGGATTTCTGGTGATGAAATATTGATGTGAGGTAAATGAAATTAACTGATTATTATTCGCAGTAAAGTGAAACGAATTATGACAGCCATCTCAATTGGTGCCATTCTCTTCTCAGCGCCTCGTTTCTTTGAAGTTCGCATCACTACAGTTTGTGATGACGACGCCTCATCTCAAATCATCAATGAAACACTGACCAATTCAAGCAACTGTGAACCGGGTGTTTTAAGGACTGAAATCGCGCAGGTTAGCAAATTCTATACCGTCTCATGGCAAAAATGCCACATTCCTTTCTGCAACCTTTATCATTTTTTATATAGAGGAACATTTGAGCCAAATTTCGATCTGTGATACCAACATAAATGGAATCAAAATGCAACGTCAGTATTGATCTAAAAAATTAATTGGTGATAAGCATGCTCGTTTAAATGTAGCATTGTCTGCGATTTTGATAAATTGTGCACAGAAGCAATGAAATACTTATGAATGCCGACTGGCTGTTGTAAGTAACGGGGTCAGAGATGCGGACTTGTCCTCTAGCATGCCTTTGATTCGAGATTCAGTTGATAGGGATATGCGAGGTTATCGGCTGTCGCATGACCTCTTTCCATCAGCTCTCCGTTAGAGAAAAGCCAGATGCAAATTTTTTAAAGTGTACCTCGTATTCGGTAGTGTTGTGCGGGGAGTCCCCGAATCCGGGGTCCCCGTCGCCGACCTCCCCGTCCCCGTCGCCGACCTCCCCGTCCCCGTCCTCGTCCCGGACCATTTTCCAGTGGCGGCCATTTTCAGGAACTCTCTCTGTCCCCGTCCCCGTCCCCGACCCATTTTGCTCTCCCCGCACAACACTAGTATTCGGATCATTAACCCGGCTTTCAATGTTGATTTGCAAAATATTGATCGTTGGTAAATTTGGCAGAACGTTATTTATTGGGGTGTGTACCACATTGGAATGGCTATAGTGTTCGTCAGTTTGGTGCCATGTTTGATACTTCTTGGTCTTACACTGCAAATTTCGATCGTTCTTCGTGAGGCTGTTCTCAATCGTAAATGGTTGTGCAAGGAAAATGTCGAAAAAGCCAGCACTATGAGGCTTGTTGCTTTCTATTCAAGCGATCTCAATGTGCTCCATCGTTGCCTTCTGAAGTTCAACCATGACCACTGATGCGATGTCCATTCGAATGTGCGAACGAGGATGCGTTTGATTTTCCATCAGCTGCTTTGATTGAATTATCAGAATTTTAAAATTATGAGCCTCTTGATGGCACATCTAAAAGAACACTCTATTTTCAAGGGACGGTTTGTGCGCTTGAGCACTTAGTATTTCAATCACCCTAGTCATAGCAAGAGTAGGATAAACAATAAAAATTGCTACGCCAGAATAGTCATGATGTGATTGATGGCTGTATTAAGCGAATATCGATTTACATAGATTACCAAATGTTGAAACAGGAAACATGCGGTAATGAACCACAAAAACTGATTTAATTTGAGGATATTTGAACATTCTCAGGATTGATTTGTGCCAACCTGCTAACACCCACCAACTGATCTCATCTTGCTTGCAGAGCCGATCGCAAATCGAATATTATGCTGGCCGTTTTGATGGCAAAATTTTTGGTCGCTGATCTTCTACCGACCGTGATCGATGTTCTTGAGCAGGTTTCAGGATTTGTTCAATATTTCATGCATTCTTTGCGTCAATCTCCACGAAATAGTCCTCATATTCACTTGAATTTCATTATGTTATTGACTTCATATTCAGTATGTTCTTCAAATAAGCTTAAAATGACTATTTTCTTTTGCATCCTGAATATATGAATTCTTGGGAAAAAGATGCAAGAATGCTAATGATTAGCAGAAGATATTGGGTTTAGCTTAATCCACATAATCCACTTAATCCATTGTTCTTCGAAAGCATCAGCTAGAATGGTGTAATTGTAATGTCGCTTTTTGATGTATTAGCTTATCGTTTTTTTTTGGATCGAAGGATAGCAAAAAATGTTCGAGGGTGAATACTGTCACTTCAAAAGAACCCACGTAATGGTGGGCATCCGAAGTGCCAACTTTTTTCAATAGTTCGCATGGACTGTACAATAGTGCTATGGATCACACCAATGAATTTTTATCGTAACGGTTCATCGAGCACCAAATCATCTTCAGTGGTATCCTTCACTGCGCATTAGGGTGATGCAAAAGTGGCATTTAAAACTTTTTCTCTCGGACTAATGGCGCATTATCCTTTATTCTTGAGATAGTTGTTCCTCAGAGGGTTTGTAGTACCACAATAGAATGGATCAACTTTAATGATAATCACATTTGGTGAATGAATCACTCCTTGAACGATAAGAAAATGTTACAAGTGGAACCAGTCCTCTGGACGCCAGCTCCACAAACAGCATTTCTGGCTGAATTTTAGCAAAGATTCTTTCCAGAACAAATAGCAATTAATTTTTGTTGTGCAATAGAAATTGAAGCGAAAATCAAACGACATAAGGGAGCGCTCAGCTGCAATTAGAGCTTACTACCGTACTGAAAAGTTTGAGCACATCGTGCCGTTCGGCATGTAGTTTAGCTGATGTGAAATTTCGCACGAAATTTTGCTGTAATGGAAGCATTCACGCTGATCGATGCATCAAAAACTGGGGAAAAATTCGAAAAATGGAGTAGCAATGACAAACGCTCAGTTTGTTGTTTTAATCAGAAGTACGAGCATTTCGCACTTGCTTTTGGCTGAACTTTTGCATGGAATGGTTGTCAAGCAAGCCGAACCAACATCGAGCAGTGATTCGGGAAACAGGCGATGTTCTTGTTCGTTGTATCACCCTCCTACTCATTCACTATTAATTTTACATGTTCTTGCCGTTAGCGATGCCAAGACCAATCACTCATTTAAGCAATTATTCCTCACTAGTGGAAAAATCACATTGATGCAGCACATGATATTCATTCCTCCCTATTTGAGTTCCACTCGACGAATCATCTCTACTTGGTCATTTTCAGAAATGAAGTGACATTGACATGTCAAGTCACTCCCGATAAATCGTCATCTGTTGCATAAGGCAAAATACGTTCTACTGCAAACGAGATTATCAGCGATCGAAAGGCAGTGAACCGCTCACTAGAATAGCTCAGAAAGATCTTTTGATGCCATCTTTCGTTCATTGACATCACTTTGAATGAGTTTTCAGATGATCGGTGGTCAAGCATTTGCAGATTCATCATTCGCTTCGTTATTGGTTGACTTAAGCAATTTTCTAGTGGTTCTTAATTCATCAACCAACTTTTGGATTTTCATTATTTGGGGTGAACGATTTCGTCGGAGTTGTCGGCGGATGATACTATATCGGTTTTTTGATTCCGTATTCATTCAATCCGAAAATCAACTCCCTAAAATGGTTATCAAATCATTTGTTGATTACATATCATATATTTAATCAGCAGTTCCAATCGATAAATCGAAATTACCGTCACATAGCAAATTACAGATTGTTATATAATGAAGTGAAAATGTGTTTCAGTCGGTCATTTCCGTAACGATCCCGCGTTCATCTCCTTTATCAAAGACTTCGACTGAAAGCATCAAATGTCACTGAGAATTTCATCGACTTTGATTGACTTCAAGCGAATTAGAATTGGATCAACATGAATCGCTGCACGTTTTCAACGGTGATTATATTCGCATAAATCTGGCTTTATCGTGGATTGTTCTGCACTGAATTTCTACATTGACCATTGCTGTTACATTGATTACCTCTCGGTCACACATAAATGTTGAATAGTTTATGAGACGAGATGTGTTGTCGAAGTGTCATCACTCATAGTAACTGAATGCACTTTTGTTCATCTTGTCATACTAAGAGTCAGTAATTTCATGATCATTTGATTTTCTGAGTAACCGCCCACACCAGAAATATGCCAACACAAAAATGCATAATCAAGGCCACCGCTTTGCAAATATTCATTTCAATCCAATTAGTACTTGCTAGTGACAGCGATATTATTTGCGAGTTAACTTTTATAGGCATACAAATAAATTTTATGAACTATTTTGTAATTTTTTGATGAGTAAAATCACGCACAGACTATTCAGCTACTTTGCTTGCCTACCAAGCGAGATGTTGATCTAACCTGGTATCTCTTGGGCATTTCACATGCCCTTTATCTACTCTTACTGCTGATCTATTCGTCTACTTACAAAATTGTAAGCCGAAAATAAAAAACTGACCATCCGTTGAAATAAGTTATTTAATATTGGCAAATAATCACAGTTTTGAGATTCATTCCGATATATGTACATTACAAGAAGTTGTTCATAGCAAACATCTTCACCGAACATCAACAAAAAATAAAATTGAAACAATTTCGGTTTGCCCTAAGAAATTAAGGAACACATATTAAAGATTTCGATTACTGCATTAGTGATCTACAGAATGGTCAATACATTTCGGATGTTAGTTTAGTTTCAGATTTAGCGGATTGAAGTTGTTATTGTTTGAACGTAATCGAGAGTTTCGACGAACAGAGTGCAATGGTGTATCGAAGAGACACTGATCAGATAAAACAAGAATTTGGCACAAAATCCTTCTAATTACACGTATATAATCGCATCAGCAGATTATATGCGACTTTCAAAAATGATGAGATCTGACTGAATACGTAACTGCAGCATGAATTCATGTAAAATTACGATGATCCTGTTTTGCGAGTAAGGCGAGCATTCTGGCACGATCGTATTCGTCCCATTGACCTGACGTACCATATCGGCATGCTGGAGTCAAACGGTTGTGCTCGCACGGAATGATCGTTATCGCCGATTCTGCCACACTACAAAAAATTCAGCGTGGGCTTTGAAGCTTTGAGGAGCTCTCAGATCAATTCAACAAGGGATACCGTAAAAATGATCAACTTAATGCGAGAAAAAGACGACGAGATTAGATTTTTCAGGGATTCTTGGGGACACCGACTTCGCATCACATGATTAAACCCACCAACTCATTATTAAGAACTTCCTTCAGTTTATTTGTTTCGGTTAGATATGACTGGGATATGCTTGAAGCTATTGAATTGACGTTGATTGTTCAAGTACTTGAATCGTAACGTTTTGATTTGTTACATAAGTTTTTTTTNTTTTTTTTGAGTGAGATGTTGATGAGAAAAAGCTACCTTCTTCGGAATAAATTGCCTGTATTTCCACTACTTCCTTTCCTATACAATTCAGTCCATTTAGCACAAGTGTTCATCATCGTTGTATAACTTGACTGTGGATTACAAGTTGTAATCACCTCCTAAAGGTAATCAAATTCATTGGTAAATCTTAACAATACCTCATCTGAAATAATTTTGCTTGTTTCAGCAGATTTTTTACATCCCTCGGCAGCTTATTCATCTCTTCAATGATTTTCCAAAACGAAAACTGGAGAGCTGTTGCAAAAATGTTCGAAAGATAACAATTTGGAAGGTTCAAAAACTTTCGAACTCAATAGCGGATGTTCTCTAATCTCGAGAAGAACACTTCACTTCTTTAAAAAAGTCAAGCATTCATTCATTAGGAAATCTTTCATAGACAGTTACTTTCCTGCAAAATCAACAAGTCTCTAAACAAATAAACAGCATTTGCTGTAATCATCTCAACCGTCGCTGGCAATAAACCTCACTCTAAAGCAATTCATTACCTGCCCATGTCCAAGTTGTGCCCCTTTGAATAGAATACGACCGCATTCAGTGCTTATAAGCATCTGTCTACACGACCGTCTGAATCTCTTTCCCCAAATAATGAATACCCAGAAATTGGTAGAACAATTCAAGACCAATAAGAAATTACTAAAGTCTACGAATAGTGTTGCCAATGATGAGGTCATAAAGACGTAATCACCAACAATCTAAAATTACAACAAATTTACTTTGATAATGACTCATCACTCTCAACATCTAGCGAATGCATGCGCTTTACTGGACGGATAGCACTAGCATCCGCAAGAGAAAACCCTTAAAGTATATATATCCTCTAACGCATTTCCATCGATACAATCCCACTGACAGGTGGGCGGGCATGAAATTAATTGAACTGAAAACTAACAGTTCAACTTTTCTTTTAATCTGCTCTAATAGTAGATGCTTCACTAAAATTGCAAAAAAACACATCATCTTTCGGTGATAATGAATAACTTCCCGTTGTAAAGATATCCGTTGGGCATTCAGCAACGGCATATCCACATGATGACTTCAAGCGCTCATAACAAGGGATTTATTTCTACTGTTCAACAAAACTGTTTTACTGTTTATTTTTACCGTTTGTTTCTACTTTTTCTACTGTTTATTTCCACTATTGAACAAAACGAAAATAAAACTCACATGCTCCAGAACGTCGGCAACAGTGGGAAGAATATCTGAGAAAAGAAATTTAGCTATAACCAGGACTAGCATTATATTCGATTTGTGCTCTTTTCTAAAAAACATTCACAGTAATATTGAAAGACCGCAAAATATATGCACAATTACCAGCTACACGCCCTCAAATATTGTCAATCTTGAAATATGACACTACTTCACCTGCTGCACACGTTTATGCATCTCATTCTGGGTGTAAAACTTAGGGCGTCTCCAGTTTAGGATTCCTATTAAGGTAAGCGTAAACGTGCCCAACAAAACATGCGAGATGTAATATTGAGCTAACTCTTCACACGGAAATTTGTTCATTTCGCTATGCGAATTTTCGAATGAATTTTTAGACTACGAATCTACTGGACTGGATACAACGAGACCAGAAGATTAATCATGCTAACTAATTTTTAGTTAGCATGCGTGAGTTTTCTAAACACATTCACATGATCATGTGAATATGTTCAAAAATTTGTATGCAATGATGAAAGTTCCAATGAGGACGCCAATAATTCATCTGTATTTTGATGTGAATCATTCTGACAATAAGGAGGTTGCTGCTTGGATGGACGCCCCTCAAGTTTATGGGATCAACAACAATAACTACGATGTATTGAATCAAGAACTGATATTTCTGAACGTACGCAAATTGCTATTCATACCGGGATGGAACATTATTTTTATTTCGTCCATCAAGATCCGCATTTGGTGCACACAGAGTCTTTCTCTTCATAATAGCTCTTCTTAAAGCCATCGATATGGTGAGCGTAAGCCAGAAAAGTAGCACACAAGGTACCAGCGTAACGAATAACATTGCGAGTATAATGTGATAAACACTCCAGTAGGTATGATTCTGCAAATGCACTATGTTAGTGTTGCATGTGTGATATTCACTGCTATGTGTTTGAATAATAATAATAATAACAACAATTAGAGCAGTACGGCCAGATGGAGCAGGTGAAAGGACGAGATACTGACCCGGGCTGAACGTCATAGAATATCTGGAAACAGTTAAACGTGAAATTTGCTGGAGTGGTTGCAGTTGGGCAGAGAATTTCAAACGATTTTGGAATCAAACCTAATTATATATAATACTATTACCTCTCAGGTATCACCTCTCAAATTTGAGAAGTCTTCGCTCCTCAAATTCTCGACTGACCGAAAACAATTTCCTGCTTTAAATACTGAAGTTCCAAGTGAGTATTCAGATAGATTGCTCAAAAAGACTATACCGGATTAAATTTGCATGAGGATAAGGTTTACTGAACATGCTGCTGATCGAACAGAATGATGGCAATGATAATAATAGGGAGAGTGATAATAACGTCATGAGGGTGATAATAATGATGTGACATATTCACTTTCTCACAATATCCGACCCTGAGAAAATTTCAGAAGCGAAGACTTCTCAGAGATCCCTCTTCTACGGCCCATTGTAAACTATGGATGTGTAGAAGAACAGGTAAGCCAAAAAATATGCGAACGCCATTTCGCTTTAGCGGCATTGCTGATGCCATTTGGTCATAGGCCATGAAAAGTTCATCGGAGTGTATCACATCGAGACTCGATGTTTCCACGAGCATCTCTTACCAATGAATCATCCAAACGTTCCAAATAAAGATCGCTTCCGATCACAAAAAAAGATTGCGAAAACCGATTCCTCCGCGACGAAAATTTCCTTCGTGAACCGCCGCCGCATGACTCAACGCATTTCTAAGATCTTGCAAACGAAACAAGCATCGCTGACGTCGACAAATTTTTGTTGCAAGCAGAATGGAAAGGTTAAAAAAATGTCTGAATGTACCTCAGGTAGTTTAGTACGACTAATCGCTGGCATGCACAAGACGTCAGTTGCATTTTGCGGATCAATGACACAATGTTCGATAACATGAACTTCAAAAAATCTTGGCGCCGAGAAGATAACGGCCAATATAGAAACAGCGATCATCAAACGTTTCACGCGACTGCAATTGATCATTTCAAACTAACTCATTGAATGTGCTTGAAATTGACTCATATAAAAATAATTCAGATGTTTATTCGAAATACTGATATGAAATATTTATTTTTAATCATGAATATTCGTAACTATTGACGCATTTCTTCCATAAAAACGCAAGATGGAATGTAAGTGTAAATGCTTGACGAAAAATGAGTTGAGTAATTGCTGACAAAATATTTATTAAAAATTCTCCACTGATAGTTAAATTCTTATGCTCACTAAAATGAAAAGACTCATCGAAAATTGTGTTGCATAAACATCTTATTAATGAATGCATTATTTAAGCATTCAGATAAGTGGAACACTCGAGGGATGAATCCACAAGTGAGCATCGTTTTCCAAGGTTATTGATGGAAGCATGCACTTTGAACCAGAGATCACCACATTTTATGAAGATTTATCTCATCTTATCCGAAATATTCATGTTACGCTGATGGTTCGGAATCAGTTTTCAGTAATAGTTCACTTAATGGGTCATAAGTGACTTGAGAATTTGTGGGTTGAGAATTTTTAAGATTTTTCAAGAGGAATAACAAATGAAACAATCGTAAATTGATTGCCTTGAGAATTTTGAGAACTCAGTTGAGATTTTGTGTATGAATTAGTGCATAGAATTAGTGTATAAAATGACACCGTCTTCATCGAACTTGTTGATGTTCTTATTTGCTCACAACTGAATATTATATGTCTACGTTCAACTGCGACGCATCGCGTAAATGTTCAAGAAATCTGTGGCCAGGTTTTTGACGATGGCCCATAGTGATTGAACGAAAACTTGAATTCAACTGGTCACTCAAACGCTACTTCTATAATTCGAAAGATGATACAAATGAATCATTTAGGCATATGCCAAAGCTGAAGCTGACCATTTTTGATGACACTGTGCATTGCTTCATTGACGGCTATTGAAATGCTGAAAGCGCTAAAGGTGAAATACTATGATACCTTCGTTTTCCAATGGCACGATGCGTGAGCGGTCTACACAGAGCTAGATATCGATCAACGGTCAACGTCAAGACAACCCATACCGAACCCGTATGCGTCGTGTTCGCAAGTGCATACACGAATGGATATAAGTAAACGTAATATCCCGTTGCTACCACACGCCCGTAAATCAGTGTGGGAAGCGAATACAACAAAAATGCATTACATAGCAAAGCTGTTTGCCAAATTGTTAATGTTACCTGAAATTGAATTGTTGTTTAACACTGGTTAAACAGTTGCCGATAACACAGGAATTATTCAATTTGGATGAATTTCAGCAGTCGATTGTAGGCTTCATTAATTCAAGCGAATTGAACGCTCCGATCCATAAGGAATTTTATTCACTTTAAGAATAATTGAAAACTTGCTCACTAGAATAATCACTTTTGATCGAATACTGCAAAATTATTGATTCGATATGGAACATTCATCTGATAGTTCGTTTCGTCAGCATGAAGATGGAGTGAATCGTTAAATGTGCTATTTCAAAACGTTTGTTCATCAGGGATTGTGCGAAATGCGATAGGTAATGCAACTTAACGTCATAATAAGGTTGTTGTTTGCATCTTGGTCTTGACTGTTCTCATGAAATTATTCAACTTAATGCATTCCGAATTGTATCAAAAATTTCTTCCTTCGAAGTAGCCCAGGTTTTCTGTCTCATTCGAACTAACAGAATTCAATAAATGAATAAGAGTTGACGCAAAAAATAGGCTCTCTGCTTAAGGCATAAGGAATGACGTGCAAAAATGCAGAATGAAATGCGTATAAACTAATTCATCGAAGAAACATGTCAATGAAATACTCGTCCAAATGTGTCAGAAGCAGTAAGAGTTTCGTGATTAAACGTATCTGTATCCTATCATCGAAACAATCAACTCTCAGAAGTTAACGACCATTCAATGAAAAGCACTCACTAAATAGTACTGTATCACTGGTGTGCTACCGCGTCGATATCGCAAAAAGACGAATATGCAAAGGATATTCAAAATAACACCCATGACAACACATATCGCGGTCAGGTATCCGTTCAGCAGATACGATATCATCTGTTGAATTTGCTGGAGAACACGATTGGTGAATATCTCGAAGAGTGAGACTAACGATTTATTTGTTGCGTCAACCGATGTGACAGATATCTGAAATATATACGTAGCATATCGAGTCATTAATTGCGTCATTCTGATACGCAATCAGCCATAGGAAACCAACATCCGTATTCCGTTCTGACAAATGAAGTTATCAGGCGAAATTCAGGATTTGAGACGATTTTGTTCACGGAAATATGTTCTCCGGTACAAACTGTAATGAATAAAATCGTTGGATGATTACTGTAATGAATAAAATCGTTGGAAGATTAAGAGCAATACGAATGAGTGCAAAGCAATCAATCGAAAGTGGTTCTCACACTGTTGTTCATGCAATTAAACAATTGAATGAAGCAGATGCAGTTTCGTTTCTGAACGACGACACGGGAAGCAGCTGGAATGATTCTCAGATAAAGTAGAACAATTTGAAAGGGCTCTGAAAACTTGGTTTCTGAGAGCGTTATTACAACAATAGTGATCGGTTGATGGAGGAAAACACTCATGTGCGACTGAATGATTAGTTTGAATATCTTACATGCATCCGTTTCAACGCATCGTAATTGAATCAATAATAAATTTCATCTATTTATTCAGCAAATCAACAAGATAAAATTTCAACAAGTAATTAATGGTGAAATACTTATGTTCCAATAATGTGAAGACCTTTTAGACAAAAATTTGTTCTTCTTCTTCGACTCTGGGAGAAGAGTTGGGCTTCAACCATAATTCAATTGAAGCCTAGACTAAAGATCGAAAAAATCGTCAGCGCGGCCTTCCTCTTTGTTTTCAGTGGTTAGCAGTGCATCGTGTTCAGAAAAATAGGTCAAATAATTACCATAGCGTGCTGATCATGTGGAAGGATACGGGATGAAAAATTCACATACTTTCGCAAATTGTCCTAATAGCTGATTATAATAATTATTTCTTATTATAACTGTCCTAATAGCTGATTGTCCACAGGTGATTATAATAATTATTTTTGCATTAACGACGCCCATTAAAAATTGAAGTATTGAACTAAAACGTTGCCATGCTACAATTATTTGTACACATTCTAATGAATAAGAGATGACGTGCAGGATTTCTGAAATGTCGATAATGATCAAATGGATGGCTGAGAATGAAAATATGACGGTATTGGTGGATCTTGCTAGATTAGTTCTGATATCATATGTCTAAAAGCTTAACCAAAGCCAGATGACTCATCGTTTAAACGGAAAGCAGCTGACTGAATAAAGACAGTGAGGAACGAACTAATATTAGTACTAATAACATTACGAGATGTGTTGCGCGTCGCTTCGAAAGTGCTGCAGTCACGGTTGGTACTAATGACTCGAGGGAGCAAGTGAATCGAAACGCTTCATCCCTAAATAGACATCCCTCCTTCGTTGAATGAAAATTCGTGCTCATTAGAGCGAAAAACTCATATGACCGAACGAAACGAGCCGAATCATGAGAAAGTTTTCATAAAAGGTGGTCAGAGATTACCAGTTAGCTGCTTCTGCTGCATCATCAACCTGACTACAACAATGCAGTTGGTCTGAATTCTGCGAAGAAACCTAGTGATCAGCAGTATGATTTCTGCACAAACGGTGCAATAATCTGTGAGGTTTTGCGATCCTTTGTAATTTACAGGTGCACAGCTGTGAAATTATTGTAACATCATACTACGTATGGAATCAAATGAATACATAGCTATTGGTTTGTTTTCTGTGAACAATAAATGCACCGAATTGAGTTCTAATTGCTCTACTAAGCCTTCAGAAGACAACACGAGAGAACGCTGACGAGCAGCCATTACGAGCAGTTTAAACATCATATTCTTTCTGATCATATTTCATGATACTTATATTGTATCGATTGCATTGATTGACGACAAAAAATTACCCGGCAGGCAAATGATTCACTTATGAAAATGAAAACAATGGAAGAGAGGCCAGCAATTTTTTTACCTGAATGCTAATCGATCCGAAACCATTAACTTAAATTCATCCAAATAGATAACGTTTGATGAATCGATAAATAATTGATGCGTGAGCAAACAACATCGTGAACATGAAGGAAACTAATGCATGACGGAATAAAATAATAAATAAATTAATGCAGGTCTCTTGCGGTTATCATGACGACTTTCATCAATAAAATTAGTTTCGAAAAGCAACATACCTTAATGACATGTTTATGCAGAAATAGAATATCAGCTAACGACAAGTTCTTGAGTAATTACTATCAAATATTAGATGTGAAAACAAACAATTTTTTAAAATCAGCAGAGCATTCTCGCTCATTTAGAGTGGATAACAGAGGCTAATCATTGCTTGGAAGGATCTACTTGATGTTCAAGTTGGTCTGGGGAATATAAAGCATTCTTGTGGTTTTACAGTCGGTTTTTAGATGCATATTTCACCGAATATTGTTTGATTAAAATGCCTAATTAGTTATTGGGCAAGCACCTGAAGGCTTTCATCTATTCGTGAAACGACATCTTGTTCAAACCTAACAAATTTCACCTACTATAATTTCATTTGACATGCGAAAGGAGACGCTTAAAACAAATGCAGTGATATGAGTTCATATTGAGACGGAAATTGATATGCAAGTCTGAAAGTGCAAATGAGTGGGTGCATTACGTTTGAATAGTGACAAGGACAGGATAACACTGTGAGGAAGAGGTGTCAAAGCATGCGGTGGTGGAATTAAAATGAAAATTCAAACGAATCAAGCGTTGAAATTGAATCGAAAAAAACGACGGTAAGTGCACGAACCAGCTGTGTCAGTTTAATGAGTAATATGAGACAATTGAGTGACTAAAACTTAGCTGAGGTGGAAATGAAAAGAGCGTGCAGGTGGTTGATCGAGACGTTTATCACGAATGGTAAGATGACCGATGAATTATTAGAAGTGCATTGCGTGTATGTTGGTATTAATTGAGTGACTGACTACACCTTACAAGTACCGAAATCAACATCAAATGAAATTGAAAGAAACTTGGTGTAGATATTCCTGTTATTATTATGATTATTATTATTATTATTGCTGCTGTTGTTGATCACGATTATTAACTATTACTTGGACATCGAGTGATTGTTTCGTCAATCGCAGTGAGCGATCGGCGGAATATTTATTTTATTAGAGTAATGATTATTTATTGAATTGGTATTTGACTGCGTTTAATTATGCAAAGTATTCACGGCGACTAATTATTTACTCGGCTGCGTTCGGTTGGCATGCTCAACTAGCCAGCGAGGTGGCGTAAATTGAGGCTAAAACAATGCGCACGGAAATGCGAGCATTGTGGCCAGACGTTTGATAGCCTGGCCAATTCAACAACAACCTGGATTACCTGGAATCCAGGTAATCCAGGTTGTTGTTGATCATAGCGATTGTTATGATGTTGTAAGCATGAACATATTGACATCATTATTATGTTTGTTTATGCTATCATAGTCATTTCGCATTGTTATGACTGATTGCTCTTGAGTGGACTTGATTCTCGAACGGACAGCACTATTTTATCAGCCCCCCCCCCTTCCTTTGAGTAAGCTGACTTATGACGGCAACTGAGATATTCGTCGTTCTTGTCATCAGTTAAATTTGATCGTAGGTTTGATCATGGTTGGCAACTACCACAAAAATTCATGCTTCTACGTCGAGCACCACATTTTCGGGTTATCTGAATGGAAAATTGCAGACGAGGCGCTTATGAAAGACATTCAGATAATAGTGATTGAGTTGACTTGCTATCATACTGACACAAATCCGCACCTTTATCATGAGATGTGCTATTGAAGAACATTCGTTTGACGAAATCTCATTGAAATAATAAGATTATTGGATAACTTTATAGCGACGTTCGGTTGCTTTTAAGAATGAAAGTTTTTTTTAGAAATATTCGTCGTAAGTCGTCGATTATTTCTACCTCAATTAGATCATTATATAGACAGTAAAAATGTCTAGAAATTGTTAAATGTAAGATTTGTCCGAATGTAAAACTCAAAAAGATTTCAAAATTCATGAAATTGTTCGTCAATGTCAGAATTTAGGTTTGATCAATGGCTCTCAGATAATGAAACTACCAAATAATGGATTAGAATTTTATATGGACGGATGCTCGATTGGATAGTTGTTTACGTCGGTTATGTACATTATAAATTGCAATAGCAAATAATTAATTCAGCTGTATTTGTTGTCATATGGTAATCACCAAAGCACCACAAATCACATGAGAATTACACGAACAGCTTCAAGCACTTCTTGAATTCCATTTCTCTGCATCTGATGATTCATAATTTCGAGTTGTTCGCTACTTTCTCGAGCAGGAATTCTCACCATAGATTTTAATGATAAATCTGACTCAATCATCTGACGTATTTCATTACTTGAAAGCACTTCGAAATCGGCGAAAGTCAATTTCAACGTTTGTATGTACGATTTCCACACGAACTATTTCAGTTTCATTCAAATTACTGCTTAATATAAGGAAAAATGTTCAAAATTTCAGTTGAATCAAATAAAGAGTGATTATAGTGCTTGAGCAATAGAAATGTGGTTTGTCGAATCTGCAACGTTTTATGTGGTCATCAGAATAACTTTAGATATAAATATTGTTTGAAGTATAAGGTAGATATATGTTCACGATATCGATAAAATTCTGCACAAAATTACAAGCTGCTGTTGAGCGATTGAATGTAGAGATTATGCATGCATGGAAAATACAGAGGTGATCATACCTGATGGGATGAAGATGAATGGCCATTAATTGTTGGAACTGTGTATGACGCATCCTGCGACTCTGAGCTGATCACTAGTAATTGTTTTACGGTTGTAGTCGAGTCCATCGAATGAAGTATGAGCACTAGCTTCGAGTTTGTTGCTAACGTTGAGAAACTAATAAATTCGAAGAAATTTTATTGAACTGATTGAACGAACTTTATAAAACAATTTGAAAAATTATTTCGTTAAATTCAAATACTGATGAAACAAAGATCCGTATTGATTTCAATCGTATTCAAAACAAAAACACTCAACTGGCTGGAAATATTGCATGGAAATGAAACGAATAAAAGCGAAAAACAAAAAGGAATAAGATAAAA